AAAAAGAGAAAATCATATTAACAGGGGCAAATCCGTCATTTTGAAAATAATCAGAACAGATTGGACCAAAGACGCAACAAAATGAAAGTTTTAGACCACCGGTGCTAGTCCAAATCTTTTTGGACCAAAGTGGCATTTTTCGACATATCACAGGAACCATTTGTGCAGTTTAGTTAATTATAAAATTAGAAAGATAGGTGTTTTGTTCTTATTGTATTATACAGAGTTGATTATTTTAAAAATAAAATAAAATATGTTTACTAATAATTTAATAAAAACATTTAAAAATTAAAATTAAATTAAATTTGGAATGAATTCGTAACAGAATTTAATATTCGGATTACTTCGTCATAAAATATAATGTTTGCATCAAATTCGTAACAAAATTTAAAATATAGGTCAAAGCTATAAAATTGAAAAGATGGGTATTTGTATAATACAGAAAACATAAGTTGCTTACATTTTAAAAATTAAATAAGTTTATTTACAATTTAATACAAACATTTTAAAAAATAAATTAAATTATATTTGGAATGAATTCGTAACAAAATTTAGTTTTCGTACTAAACTTATAATAAAATTTAAAATCTGAAAAAAGTATAAAATTAAAAAAAAAATGATGATAGACAAATATACATAAAACATGAATTGAAAACATGAATTTGATTAAAAGAATAAAAGCATTTCAATTTTATTTTTCAAGAAGATGTTTGGAATTTCATTTTGAACTTCAAAAATATTGTAGACAAAAGGAATGAAAACGTTAATTTGATTAAAAGAATAAAAACATTTAAGTTTCATTTTCCAAGAGGGTGTTTAATATTTCATTTCGAACTTCAAAATGACTTTTCGCATGAAAGAACTTATTGAATTAAGAAAATAAGAAAAAAAAAATTAAAAAGTGTTTGATTATTTTTGTAGTAGAAAAAATCAATAAATCAATAAGTTTTTTTTAAATGTTTATTTTAGTTTATATATGTTTTAAGGGAAATTTGTCTTTTATAAAAATAAAAAATTTTGAAAAGTCAAAAATCAAAACATATTAAAATCTACTTATAGGGAAAAAAATGGAAAATAAATATAATAATGACAATTTAGGGGTCGTTTGATAGCTGCTGGCTGAGTTAGTTCTGGCTGAGTTAGTGCTAACTGAGTTAGAACTTCTGACCGAGTCCATATCTGACTGAAACCATGTTGTTTGATTATATCTCTGACTGACTGTAATTATTGATGACAAATGACCATATTACCCAATGAATTTTATTCTTGGTTCTAGAAAAGACAATGAACTTTGATACTTTAATAAAACAATCCTATAATTGGGTAGATTATTCAATGAACAATGCCTTAATAAGAAAATAGAAAACAAAATTTTCTTATAAGAAAAAAGAAATCAAGTAAACAATTTGTTAATCTCACATTAATACTTCATTTATAATAAATAAAATCATCACTCCCACCAAGCACATCAAAACCCATCTATCATCCATAAATCATTTATAATAAATAAAAAATAGCCAGAAATCACAATACAAAAACACCAAAAATGCTTAAATCTTAAATCTCGTCTCAACATGTTGTTTTGCCTATATTCTCAATATACTGTTTTGCCAATATTCCCAAGTGTTTGCTAACCTTCAATATGCTCCTATCTTTAATATACCAATTAATTATACGTATAATAGAGCTAACTACAAAAACGCAAATCATCAACAACTAAAAAGGAGTTTCATCATTGCGTCTTCTTGAGTCTACACATCCAAAGAACTTCATCAATCAGAAAATATTCATTATAAAGAGAATTATAGAATACATATGTTAATTAGCATAAAAACCAATAAGAGCACAAAGCATCCAACTGGAGATATGGAAATTCGCACTACACAAAACACAAACCCTAGCCCTAAATAACCATCTCAAGCCAAATTGATTTGTGCAAAAACACAAAACTAATAAACGAAAATCATCCGGCTGCAATATTTAATTTTTAATAAAAGATAAGATGATTTCAGAGAAGAAAGAAAATTGATTTCACATATGGAGAATAGGAGCTTACCGGCTGGAGAAAGAAGGCGTTAGGTGGCGGCGCTCATGTTTGGTGGCCGGAGATAATCGCTTGTGTGGTAGCGCTCAAAGACATAGTGGCGGAGGAAGTCGTTGGAATGGAGGGAGATGGAGAAGAGAAGTGTACACGACGTCTAGCTGAGGAAGGGGTTCCATCGGAGTTGGGCGTCGTTGGAAAGCGGTGGACGGCGACGCAAGTTTGGACGACGACAACAAAGAAAACAGAGGATCTAGGTGGGAGGAGATGTTGAATGATCGAGGTGAGATTATGTAGGGAGAAAACGTTGTCAATAAGGAGAAGGGTAAAGGAGGTAAAAGAAATCTTTGGTCTCGGTCAGACTATATTTTTCCAAGGACCGAATCAATAGCGTGAGCCATTATTTGTGGACCGGGTCAGACAAAATAGTGATCTATCAAACAAACTGGACCCAATCAGAAAATAATGCTGACCAGACCCGGTCAACAAGTTATCAAACACACCCTTAGTCTTTTCAGTTTGCCGAATGATCAAAATCACAAGCAAACTATCTCAAAAGGATCACCAATCCAAAAAAAATCATGGCTTGGACTAAAACCCAAAAAAATTACATACCACAGGGACTATTTTTGCAATTTATATTTTTTTTGAGTTAAAAAACCCAATAAATCAAAAGAAACCTAAACATGACCCATTTTTATGGATGATATATAAAGGGTGTATAAATGGAAAGATAAAATGTATTATAAAATGTGTTTATAGCCGACCCGTGTATAAATTCGAACACGTTTGGACCATCACAATCCATTTTCTCGGTTCTGCAAAACACCGTTTACGACACGCAACGGTTTTGAGTTTTGAGTTTTGAGTCGTAGTCGGCGGCATATGCAGACAAACAAATTCTCGGTTTGTCTCCTTCTGCCCCTCAAATTCATTCGTCTCCCTTTTTTTGCCTTTCAATTTCATTGTTTTTGCCTTTTGGTTTCTCGCAGGGTTTAGGGTTCAGCTCCTCTACAGATTAAAATAAATCTCCCGCTACAAAATGCAGCAGCCGCCCCCTCCGGCGTCGAAGCTCTCCCCCAATGCCATCACCACCGAGCAGATTCAAAAGGTTTCTTAGTGTTCCGATTGATTTTCTCTATTATAATCTTTCAAATAGTTTTAACCTTTAGTTTGCCCCATTAATCGATGAATACTTTTCCCAGTTTGTTCCTAAACTTTCAGATCTTACATAACTCTTTTTGCTCTTCATTTGATCATATTAGCCGCAAATTTACACCAATGCGTCGATTTAGAGTGTATATGTTATGTTATGGGTGTCTTCTTGTATTTAACAGATCATCGCCATTAACGATTTCATTAAGTAGTTTTGATGTGTTCTGTTGGACGATTGTTAACAAAAGAACGTCTTTCATAACAACTACAGATTCTTTGCCCTAATACTTGCAATCGTGACATACCATGTTAATCGCTACATAGTATTTGATAGGAAGGAATTGGGGAAAGAACGGAATAAGTAGTAGAAAATACATCAATTGATTGTGTTGATCCGATTGCAGTGCCTTGAGGACAACAAGAACCTGATCATGGCTATAATGGAAAATCAAAACCTTGGAAAGTTCCAGGAATGTGCTCAGTAAGTTGATTACAGCATTTATTCATATATTGATCATGTAAAAATGTAACCTTTTTGAGAAATTTAACTAATTTAGGTATCAAGCAGTACTCCAAAAGAACTTAATGTACTTAGCTGCCATTGCTGATACTCACCCACCTCCACCAACACCAACGCCAACACCACAAATACCAAATCATTCTCAGGGGAATCCAAGCTTGCCACCAGGTTTCATGCCTCAGCAGCCTAATAATTTAATGCAGCAACCTCAACCCGTAGCTCCTCCTCAGCTTCCTATTGGTGGTGGTGGTGGTGGTCAGAAACTGCCATTTCAGTTGAATTCACTTCGGACCCCAGAGCAGCAACAACAATTGTTACAGTTTCAGCAACAGCAGCAGCAGCAGCTTCAGGCACAGATGGGTCTGAGGCCTGGTGGTGGTGGTCAGGGTGGTTTGTTTGGGATGCATCAAGTTATGAACCATGGTGGTGGTGGTGGTGATTTGATAAATGGACAAGGAAGCAAGCAAGATGGATCTGAAGGTAATAGGGATTCATGAATTTATCCTTAAATTATATATAGATAGGAAAAAAACCAAATCCAGTATCTTTTCGTGTTTGTTGTCTGGAAAAGTGGTCTGCTTTGTGGGTTTTGTATTGTAGCTGCCCAATAAGGTGTTGAGAGAACTGATTTCACCATGTTCTAAGAAATGTATTTTTATCAAGGATAATGCATTCATGCTTCAACAATCTCTCATATCTTGGAGGTATATTATTTGGTTTGTGTAGAATGTTTTTGAAAGGAATGGAATACGTTTGAAGGGTTAGGATAGCTTGAGTTTAGACATAAAAGAGTTGATACTTACATCATCTTAAAGTAGTTAAATGGAAGTTGAAGAGTTTAAATTAAGAGATGAAGACAAATGTACCCATATTGGCATAAGGTTTGTCACAAAATAGCCATATTTTTTCAAATTTCTTAAAATAAGGGATAGGCTAAAGAGACACCTCATTTATCATTTAGACACCCTATATAGTTTTTAAGGTATTTTTATTGGTTGAAATTGTATTGTTTTCTGAAAAAGATGATTAAAAATAATTACCTATAGGTTGACTTTTAAGGCCGGACGGAGTGGACTGCGGAGAAACCGCGGGATCGGTTCCTGCACTTAAGCACACCGCACCGTGGGTGCGGGAAAGGAACGGCGGGAAGAGGCTGGGGAGAGAGTCCCGCTCTCTCTCTCTCTTCTAACCATTGGGTGACGCGTTTTTTTTTTTCTTTTTTACTCCAAACGGCTATATAGCCGTTATATATATATATATATATATATATATATATATATATATATATATTTCTTTTTTCCTTCCCTTTTCTTAACCTATAAATACTCAAACATTTTATCATTTTTTTTAACCCATAATCTATATTTCTCTCTAAAAAATATTACTCAAAATGTCATCATCTTCATCATCCGATTCGACGGCGGTAGAGGAGGCTAAGTTTATCGGTTCCGTAATGGCGAAAACGGTTGCATACTATCAAAACCGACTAGGTGAAACATCACATGCACGACCTAACCTAAGAAAGCCGCCGTTACGTAGAAATCACGAAGCCGGACACGATCGCCTTATAGAAGATTATTTTGTAGATGACGCCGTCTACGCTGTAAAGTTTCGATGTCGGTTCCGGATGAGGAAGGAACTATTCTTACGTATTGTTGGCGATTTGGAAGGCCGCTTTCCATATTTCCAATGGAAAATGGATGCAAGGGGAAAAAAAGGTTTCTCTCCCATTCAAAAATGCACGGCTTCAATTCGTCAGCTAGCATACGGCATGGGCGCAGACAAATGGGACGAGTATTTTAGGATGTCAGAGCGTACCGTGCGGGAGTCTGTGTACAAGTTCTGCAAAGCGATCTGTTTGGTTTATAGGCAACGATATTTGCGCAAACCAACTATCAACGATATCCACCAATTGTATACGGTGCATGAAGGCAAACATGGATTCCCTGGAATGCTAGGTAGTATCGATTGCATGCATTGGAGTTGGTCATTATGCCCCAACGCATGGCGTGGTCAGTACATGAGAGGCGACCACAAAGAGCCGACGATCATTCTAGAGGCTATCGCATCACATGATCTTTGGATATGGCATGCATTCTTTGGTCCAGTTGGTGCAAACAATGACATCAACGTGCTAGACCAGTTGCCTGTATTCAACGATATCTACCTTGGAAAGTCACACGATGTACCTTTTCAAGCAAATGGGGTAGCATATAAGCGTGGATACTATCTTACTGACGGTATATATCCTCCCTTGTCTGTTTTTGTGAAATCGTTTACATGTCCTAACGACCCGAAAATGAAAAAGTTCAAAGAGGCGCAAGAGTCAGCTAGGAAGAATGTGGAGCGAGCATTTGGTGTACTTAAGAGACGTTGGCAAGTACTAACGGTCGGGGCAAGGTCATATGAGGTGAAAAGGTTACAACACGTAATGTATGCATGTATCATATTGCATAATATGATTCTTGAAGACGAAGGAAGAGCGATATGCCGATACAACGAAAATGAAGTTTTGCCAAATGTCGAAAGAGTAGTCGTTGGTACACAAGAGTATAGGGTGAATAGAAGATAAGTACACAATCGCGACATTCATCAGGCCCTTGGTGCTGATTTGGTGGAGCACATTTATAGGGCTCATATTCAGCCCCGTATGAGTTATCTCACGATAATTTGTTTGACGAATCAGACGAGGATTCTGATATGTTCGTCGAGAGTGAAGATTCCGACGACGAGAGTGACGCTGGAGAGAATGATGCAGACGATCAAAGCGATGACGAAGACGATGATTGCGAGTGACGTATCTAGGTTTAAATAAAATTAGGATATTAATTAATAATTTTTACTATGTTGTAGGTTGTTTGATTTTTTTTTTTTTTTTTTGCGGTTTTTTTTTCTACTTATTTAAATATTAGGGTTAATGTAATTTTTATTTTACTTAATGAAATGCTTTTTATTTTTAATTAAATTTTATGTTTGATATTAATTTAAAAATTATAAATCAAAAAAAAATTATTTTATTTAATATAAAAAAAAAAAAAAGTGAGGGAAGGGCTTCCCACCCATTCCTTGGCTTTTAGGTGAGGGAAAGAGGGGTAGGCCCACCAAAAGTGAGGGAAGCTTCCCTCCCACTCCTTCCAGTCTAATAAAGATGAGCAACACCCTAAAATAACTATATGTTTCACATAGGGTTATTGTGTAATTGGGGACTTCACTAAGAATTTGGTTTTTGACTTGTGTATTGCATCTTGTGGAATTGTGTTTTGCAATGCCAATGGTGATGCAAAATTGTCATTTTTACCGTGAAATTAGCCAAAATGAGTGTAATATAGCTACAAGTTTTATTGTTTTTCCACATAAGCTCAAATTAAAAATATTTTATCTTCCAAATTTAGGGGTTGAAAATAATGTCGTCTAGATCATCCACAAGGGTAAAGTAGTTGCAAGAATCTACGATAATAATAATAATAATAATAATAATAATAATAGTAATAAATTGTCGTTTCAAAGACTATGAATTTAATTGATCGATCCTAAATTCATCCCATGATGTTGGCTTCAGTCATAAGGCCTTTTATTGCGGTAGAGACTTTAAGGACTTTTAGTCTTTTACTGTGGTGGAGATTTTTATGCCTAGCAATATTGTTAGTTTCTATGCATGACATAGAAGTCAATCATGGAGACTTCAAAAAGTGCAAACAAATTATTGCATGTAGAGAATGTAACACTGAAAATATCGAGAACAATTATTAAATGATTTATCGAGATGAATGAAATTAAAGTTGCAAAAAAGATGGATATGCGATTCTAATTTGGGCACTTCTCGTCTTTTAAATGCTTCCACCATCTTGACAAAGAAATTTGAGTGAGAAAGATTTATTGATGACAACAAAAATAACTATTTCATTTACAATGTCGAATATGGGTGGAAATAAAATTAGTCATGATTTTTTTTAGCACAGTTGAATTTTGTAAGAAACTAGCAAAAGAACTAGAAAAAAAAGTTACAAGGAAATAGCAAAAAAAGGGTTTTGAAGCCATTCACTCCAAATACTATCACTAGTTCTGTATAAGAAGTGAAGAAAACAGCTAATGGTTTTCAAGATCGACTTTGAAAAGACGTATCATTCGGTTTCTTGGGATTTTCTTGAACTAGTGTTGCAATTCATGGGGTTCGGCCCCATGTAGATGGGTTGAATTCGTGGTTGTCTTTATCCACTCAGGGTCTCGGTCTTGGTCAATGGTAGTCCTTCGGTGGAGTTTCCTCTACAAGGAAGGTTGTGTCAAAGAGATCCTCTATCTCCCTCTTTTTTTATTTTGGTGATGGAAAGGTTAGTTGTTGTATTTTTTCCGTGGTGTCATGATTGGTTCTTTGTATGTGTCTCACTTATTGTATGTAGATAATGTGTGTGTGTGTGTTGGGGTGTAGGGGGGGGGGGGGTAGGGGAATGCTGTAATTATTGCAATCTTTTGATTGTGTTGGGGCTCAATCTAAACCAGTGGTGGAGGCAGAACAAAAGTTTAGGGTTAGCACAATTTTTTTTTTACCTTGTTTATGATTTTTTTTCGAGTTCAGGTTAAACATAAACAGGTTCGAAATTTTTGTATTTTTTGTGAGAAATTTAAACCAAAATGTTCCCCGTGATAATATATCTTCATTTATTTCTACCTCAATAGGAACATCAGTATCATGAATCGAACATATAACAATAGCCTCACATTCAGCAGCATATATTATATCTCTGGTTCTGTTAGAGGACATTGCTCGTGCAAAGGAGTCATGTTATGCCCCCCCCCCCCCCCCCCCCCCAACAACTTTTAAAGAAGCCAAAATCCCGTTCCATGCCCTTTCTTATTGATTTTTGTGCCGTCTTGAACCGTTTTTCGGTAGCTATATGTGGAAATTATTTCATAAAAGTGGCCCAATTTGGGTATATCCTATTTTCAAGGTAGAACGCCGTTTGTATTTTTTCCATTCAAATTAAATGAACATTTTGGTGTTTTTCTAAGATATTTATAGTTAATTATGGGCGATTGGTAGGGGTTGCTTAAGTCATTGTTCGAACAAGCGACACCATAATATGCATGCAACAATTATAAATCTTATGACACTACCGCTTCAAGCATCATTGTTGGGTACTTGTGATCACCTCTCATGTATTGGCCTCGAATGCCATTTGACAATGCCTCCAATTCTAATATGAGCAATCAATGCTATTAAGCATTCTAGAAAATCCATGTCCGGTTTCATGTATACTATACAAAAGTTGAATGTCGTTGGAGTTGGATTGTGCAAAAATCCATCTCCATATAGTTTGATAATACCATAATTGGAGTGTTAAAAAGACTTTAACGTGAAGTTATTTCTAACATATTCAAGTACTCATCCAACGTATTTGTCGTATTCTTGTATCCTAGTTGCCATATTGCAGATGTTTATTTTTGCAATGAACTAGAACTTATTTGAAACCTTACAACCCACATTGTTTCAAAATATGGATATGTTCTTTCCATGTCTTCAACAATAAAAATGAACAAATGTTTGCTCATCCGGAACCTTTTTCGAAAATATTCGTCACCGAAGATTGCATTTTTAGCAAAGTAATCTCAAATCACACCCATTTTGCAGCTTCACGATCTCTCCTCACAATATTTCTTGAATTGCAACGCACATTTCAACTTGCAGAGCCTAAAGTGTTTGTGCAGTTTGAGCAAGTGCCGACAAAAGTTGAATGTTACTACTTTCAGTATCGGGTGAAGATGATAAAAGATGATTTATTTCCACAACATAATTGTTGCACGCACATGATCATCCAAACTAGAGATGAATTCACTGAATTTGAAAGTTTGGATGAAATTGGAGAGGGTTTGAATGGAATTTGAGAAAGTTTGGATTTTAGAGTGGTAGAAAGTTGTTTATGTATGTAATTAGATTACTTTTATAAACAAATAACCAATGATAATGAATTCCCATCATACACCATACCAATGACAATCAAACATGTCACAAAATGGAATCTTGAATTTCAATTGTCGCAATCCGCAAACCAAACACGGTCTCTTACTATATATTATGGGGGTTTCCATAGTTATAAATGAAAAAAGCTGCTATTGTGGATACTCTTAGTAGAGTGTTTTAAGAGTGCAAGTGGGAGTGTGGGTAGAATTTTAATCCATTGAAATCATTTTTAAATAACCAACA